TTACACAATAGTCTGTTCAATTGTCAAAATTAGTCAAGACCATAATACCATGAACACCATACAGTAGGTGAATCCTTGGAACATTTGATTACAATTTATAACAGCTATTTATTCTTTTTGCTCTGATATATGGAAGTTACTTTGTGTTTGGTTGATCATTACAATAATAAAAAAGGAGTTATTATTTCATTGGCAGTATGAGTGCAATGTGTGACGTAAAAACTTTGAGGCTACTCTTAACCCTAAAATCCTATTTCTTTTTGTTCAGTTTTATACACAATTGTATTCTGTTAGCTAGACAAACAGTAAAGTAACCATTGTCAATAAAGGACTGGGCTAAGACTGTAAGGTGGACATGAGGGATATTTTAGTGGTCCTTTGCCATAATGACAAAACATCTAAACATTTTTTGCTTGCAGTGCTTGCATAATGCTAAAAGGACGAAGCTTTTGGGGGGCACTGAGTGTTTAAATGAGAAGGAAATTTAGTTTTGACACATGAGTGAACTGTTTTGGGAAAGGGATGAGCTTTTGCAAGTGAGCTATAGTGTTGTGCTAAACTTTAACACTGTTTTGCCAAATGATCTTAGCATTTTCAGAATGTACTTTCTGTTTCAAGAAATGAGTCAAACCAATGAAGAAAACGGTAAAATGTGAGTTTCTTTACTGAAAATAACGCACTGTTAATCCTACAACAATTATACAATGACCCAAATACCCAAAAAAACTGTGGTGGAGGAATTTCCTCTCTCAGATAAAGTTTATCAGAGTTTTGTCAGTGGAGAATTTTGCTCAGAGCCCTTCATCAGAACGTTTTCCAGGAAACTGTCAACGGTTTCCTGCTGGGACACATGGGACATTCATGTTCTGCCTGTTTTCTGACCTTTTCTCATTTGTGCTAGCAAAACTATTTATGAAGCTGACCAATGATTGATCATTCCAAAGAAAACACAAGAGGGCAGTGTAGCGTTGCTTAATGTGTTTAATCAAACCACATGACCGCCGTCTCCAAACAAGGTGGCCTTTCTTTCACAGAACTTTCTAGCTGTGTTATTTGTTGGGACATTGTGAAATTTGGAGTACATTTGGACAGAAAAGATGATGACTTAACTGTAAATTGTTTACTCATTTCACTTAAATTCTTCATCCACAAATGCAAAACTTTGAAAACAGCTCCTCGATTGTGTTTAAAAAGGAGTTTGCCACCTGAAGAAGCTTTAAAAAGAATGAAGGGTGAGAAGGCTAAACAATTGTATGATTTGTTTCTTGCAGGGGCGGACTGGGACTAAAAATCAGCCCTGGCACTGTAGCCACATCAGCAAACAATATCAAACCGACACAGCCCCACCCTCGGACACGCACATTCAATACTTTTATTGGTGTACAGATGGTAAAATAATATAAGCAGTAACATATTTAATATATATTTAATAGATATTTATTTTGTGTTTGGACTTGTGAGGAAAACCGGGAGCAAACCCACATGAACATGCAAACTCCACACAGAAACACCAAATGACCCAGCCGAGGCTCGAACCATTGACCTTTTTGCAGTGAGGCTACCCATTGTGCTGCCCCTTTTTGAGACTATTTCAGTAAATTTTATGCATTTGGCAGCGTCTGATTTTAAAGCAATTTTTAAGTTTCTCTGAACTTTTTGGCACAGCCTTTCCTTTTTTTTACGATCCATCTCTGACAATAAGCTTGTGTTGCACCTAATGTTTGTTTGACATTCTTGCCAGATTTTGATTACTGTATGTCCGCGTAACCTCTGATTGGGTCGGCCCATCTCGAAACCAGCTGGCCATTGCCGATTTTGCCAATGCTTAACATTTATTATTATTACTATTATCATCATCATCATTATCATCATCATCATAATATTCACATCTAGCAAGAAACAAAAACTGCCTGTATGTAAAAGCAATACTTAAAAGAATTAATAAAAAATAGCATACCGGCCCACATTTAAAAAAAATGGTCCAGCCCTTCTGGCATTTGCCAGAATTCCCAGATGGGCAGTCCGCCCCTGGTTTCTAGAATATGGTTTTATTTAACCCCTTACAGAGTTTCTGTTTGTTGTCTGCACGGTATGTTGTTCTTTTTTTGTTAAGTTATTTTGTACATTTAAAAAAAATTTGTCTTAATTTTATGGTTTTATTTTTGATTCACTGTATATCTGACATGTCTCAGTCAGTTTGTGCATGATTATGTTTGGATTGAGTTTGGCCTAAATTGTTGTTTTTGAAAGGTAAAAAAAAAAACTTTCTAGCCGTGTAGAGTTTAGAGCAGGGGTCACCCAACTTGCTCCTGGAGGGCCGGTGTCCAGCAGATTTTAGCTCCAACCCTAATCAAACACACCTGAAGAAGCGAATCAAGGTCTTACTAGGTAAACTTGAAACACCCAGGCAGGTGTGTTCAGGCAAGTTGGAGTTAAACCCTGCAGGGACACCGACCCTCCAGGATTGAGACTGGTGACCCCTGCTTTAAAACTGCAAGACACAGATGAAAGCAGAACTTGTGAAAGAAATCAAATGTTGTGCAACATAGGATACGACTGTTGTTTCACAATGCATATATTTTTAAATTAACAGCAAACGTGTGCACATGTACAAGGATAAAACCCAGAGAAAAACAGATGCACGAGCTTGCATACCTTTTACATATTCTCTGCCAGGATATTTGTCATGTTTATGGACATTTCCTACACCCAGAACTTCGAAATGCATCGTGTTTACTTATCTTGGACGTATAATGCCATATGCCTTTTACTTCCTTTTTTTAGGGCTCCAAAAGTAGAAGTTTCATATATCCAGCTTGCACCATTTAGGAAGTAAACAGCGACCAGCATTATGCTTTTAGAAATATGTTGTTTTTTTGTTTTTACAGCAACCATCATTATGTTTTTTTTTTACACAAAGATTAACAGACAAGATCGGATTTGCATGAAATTTAACCTGAATGTGCAATTTCATGCAAATCCTAACTTGAATGTTAATTTATGTGTCCAATAAAGTTCATGAGACTCTAAAATCATGTGCTCTTGTTAACTTGCCCTAAGATAAACACAAGCTGTGAGAAATTTAAGGCAAATAGAAATGCGAATACAGAGAAATACAAGAAATATAAGTTAGCGTTCATCTAACAAATGCTAGTTCGCCTGTAATCTGAGAAAATAACTTGATTTACCAAAATTGTGCACTTGTTGGAGCAAATTGTGGTTCTAGTAAAGTTTCATGAATATATGATTGTGCTGCTTTATTACAGTTGTGTATTTTTGTCATGCGTTATTCATTCATTCATTTTCATTTTGGCTTAGTCCCTTTATTAATCAGAGGTCGCCACAGCAAAATGAACCACCAACTTATCCAGTATATTTTAGGCAGCGGATGCCCTTCCAGTTGCAGCCTATCACTGGGAAACACCCATACACTCTCATTCACACATATACACTATAAAAAATTTAGCTTAACCAATTCACCTATAGTGCATGTCTTTGGAGTTGTGGGGGAAACCGGAGCACCCGGAGGAAACTCACATGGGTAGAACATGCAAACTCACAGAAATGCCAACTGAATCAGCCGAGGCTAAAAACCAGCGACCTTCTTGCTGTGAGGCGACAGGGATATCCACTATGCCACCGCACCACCTGTCGCAGGTCAAATAAATACAATTATGTTTGTTTTTCACCAAACACTTGTGCCATACGGTATGTCAATTGGGATGACTGTTTGTTAGTTCTGTGTCTTATTTAAAATGCTTATAGACATAGTTCACAAATTACTCACAATCAAGTGGTTCCAAGCCTTTATGAGTTTTTGAACACAACAAAAAATGTTTTACAGAATTTTGTAATGATAATCATTGACATTTATAGTAGAAAAAAACTACTATGAGAATCAATGGCTATTAGTTTGGAAAATTCTTAAAAATATATATATTCTTTTGTGTTCATCCGAAAAAAAAGAAACTCAAAGAGATGTGGAACACACTGATAACAATTTGCTGTAGAACCGACAGTAATTTTCCAGCAGACACACAATGTCATAACACATTAATATTAGGTTAGATTTAGGTCTTCGACATCTAAGGACAATGTTATATTGACGTCCAGTGATGACGTCAAATGACATTGATATTTGGTTGATTTTATGTTATGTTGGAAATTGACCAAAAGTCGTCCAATATCTGATGTCGAGCCAACATCTTAAACCACAATCACATTGACATCAAATACAGGCGTCTATTTTTCAGGTATGGCAACCAAAATCCAACGTCTGATAGATGTCATATTGGAAATGTCCACACAATGTCAAGTTGTAACATCATTAGACGTTGATAATTTGCTGTTTTTAGGTTGGGTTGGAAAGTGAACAAAGTCGTCCAACACCTGACGTCGAGCCAACATCTTAACACAATATCATACTGACATCAAATATTGGCGTTTATTTCTAAGGTATGACAACCAAAATCCAACATCTGCCAGACGTCATATTGAGAATGTCCACACAACGTCAAGCTGTAACATTATTAGACGTATTTTGTTGTTAGGTTGCATTGGAAAGTAACCAAAAAGCAATGTTGGACATTAACGTCAGCCTGACGTTGGGTTAACCTGATTTTCATTTCCAAACAAAATGCAACATCCCCACGACGTTGGGGTTGTCAATCTGACATCATGTTGATGTCCTGTGCCTGCTGGGTTACTGGCAGCAGTTTTCCAGTAAATTACTATAAACCAATTACAGCAAAAATACTGTATTTACACTGCCATTTAACTTGCTCTATATAAAATATACAGTAAGTTTGCAACTTGCAACTTTAAGTACTGTAACATACTGCATAACAGTCCTACAGTAAAACAGTTCTCATTACAGTTAAATACTGTGTAATTTGCAAAAACAAAAACAGTCCAAGTAAAAAGAGAGAAAATAATGAAAGAGTTTTTGTTTGCCATTAAAATGTATACTTTTTGGGTTCAAAAAAGAAAGAAAGAAGAGGTGTGTGAAAACAATGAATTTTATTTTTGATGTAAACTAACCCAACATTGTGTAAAGCAACTGTGAAGAAATACATTATTTTAACAATATCACATTGGGCTTTTCTAAAAGTGCAGGGATTCCCCAGTAATTCAATTATTTTTTAAAACATTTGTATGTTCATGTTTTCTTTTCTTTGCAGCTGTAGGCACTACTCATAATATTATATCAGTGCTTCAATTTAGAATCCCAATTGGGAAACTCACTTGCGGTGTCGCCCTTTTACATAAGCATAAGCAGAGCAACACCAAGGAGGATATTTGGAAACGATTAGAAATGCTGACATGTTAAACGCATAAATGTGTTTCTGTATTGCATTTCCCTGTACTATCCTGAAAAAGAAAAGAAGCTTATACTGTACAAGCACTGGTTTGTTCTAGTTAAGTGCAATAATATAATACAACAGATAAGTGCAATAAAGAAAATCAGTGTACTGGTCATTCAAAGTATAATCTCCACAATACTGTGCTCCTGTTTGTTATCTCCTATAGATACGCATGATCCAAATCAATGAGGTTCAAGGACAGAGATACAGAAATTTAAATAAGTTATCATTTTTTACACTGCCTGATAACCAATTTGATGAATGTTGTGTTCATTTCAGCATTTACCAAATCTTCAATTTAGAATTGACATTTTGTAATTGACACAAGTAAAAGTACATCAATATTCTATAGAAATAATCAAATAACAAATAATAGTGATTTTATATACACAGAATCATATTAATTTGCAAGTGTCTACAGTTTCAGAATGTCTTTCTCTTTGAAATTATTGAGATTATTTTGTTAAATATTTGTGAAACCTACTTTCTTAAAACAGTGTTTCTCAACCACGTTCCTGGAGGACCACCAGCTCTGCATATTTTCCATGTCTCCTTAACCAAACACACCTGATTCAGATCATCAGCTCATTAGAGACTCAAAGACCTGTTAATGGGTGTGACGGACAAAGGAGACATACAAAACATGCAGTGATGATGGTCCTCCAGGAACGTGGTTGAGAAACACCGGCTTAAAACATAATGATTTAAAATGACAATTAATTCTATTATTAGAGATTCAAAGTGATACACTTTTAATACATGGTACATTTTAATACATCATTAGATAATTCTTGTTTTAAACATGCCTTAAACCATTGTTACACCGAATGGCATTAGTGGCTGTTTTTGTAAGTCATGGTAAAAACTACACTTTAAAAATGATGTGAGCCTGAACATTGTTTGAATCCAAATTATAGATTTTTTAATGCAAAAAATCACTGGAATATTATCAGATAATATTCCATAAAGATATTTTTACATTTCTAACCATAAATATATATATTTAAAAAAAGGCTTATTTTAAATTAATATTGCGCATTTTGTGCACCCTCAGATAGCGTAAGATACCTCAGATACGTGGATATCTAAGCCAAATATAGTCCGATCCTAACAAAGTCCAATGACAAAACGTGAATCATTAAGTATTAAACAAAAGAAACTTAAATATTTAAGTTATGCAAGCTGTTTTAAGTCAGTGTAATGTAATTTAAGCTTAAGTTTAAATTAATTCCACTTAAATTTTAACCGTGTGTTGTCATTCATTTACAGTGTATAGTCATTCATTTTTGTTAAGAAAATAATAATAATTTACATCTTATTACTTTTTTTAATACTGCATGTTGGCTGCATTATAGTTTACTGGCTGGTGACAATTTCTCAAAAAATAAGACAATAAATGATTATTTTTTTTCTGTAATTATTTTCTTACCCTCATGTTAAGCTGAAACTCTATGAAAGCTTTCTTTTGTGGAAAATGAGTGGTCACCACAATTATTTGATCACCAACATTCTTAAAACCATATACTGCTGAAGCCAAAATTATTAGCCCCCCTTTGATTTTTTTACATTTTATTTTAAATATTTAATAAATCATGTTTAACATTTAATATTTTTTCTTCAGGTGAAAGTCTTATTTGTTTTATGAAGGAATTGTGTTGGTCCAACTAGTTAAGGGATTTGTAATTCCTAGCATGCTTTGCTTGGAATTGAATTAAGTGAGGGAAATGTTGACAATAAAAGTAATCCTAAGTGTTTAAAGTTAATAAACACTTCAGTTTGTTGCTTTGCTCAATGAGCAATAACTATCCTAAATTTAGTTCCGAGATTAGTCTCAATATACGTAACTCATGAAATATGCTTTGAAATAGCTCTTAGTTCATTTAGGATAACTTCAAATAAAACTAAGACACTTTGAAATGTACGACACATAATAGACATACATGATATTATCAGACTTTGAGGTTAAATTAAATCAAAATACAAATTATTTAAACTTTTATGTGATGAAATCATGTTGGACAAACTCAGTTGCATTTAATTGTGTAACTAATTTTTAGTTGGGGGTAAACAAATTTATTAGATCCTGATTGAGGATTGAGGAAATTCTGCCCTCAATTATATTGAGTTCCTCCAATGGGTTACTTTTTTGAGTGCAGGTTTACAACAGAATGAAAAAAAAAAAAAAGTTCTCTTTCCAATAAACTATCCCTTTAAACAAAAGCCCTGAATTCAAAATACTTTCAAGAATAGTAATAGCAAAGACGATGACCAGTTTGAATACTAAGAATATGCTCAAAGTTCAGTGCTTTAACAGCATGTCTGTAAAACAATATCGCTATAACCTGATCCCTAACCATAACACTGTAACTGAATCGTTGATAGGAATGTTATTCCAAGACCAACAAGATTATTGATCTAGAAACATGCAGAATCACTGTTATCTAAAGACTACGTGGTCCTAAATAAACCTAAATGCCCACAACTGTAACACTCAGTGACCAAAGGTTGATCATCCATCATTGCACTGCTGAATATATTACTCTTTCCTTTGCTTTTCGGTATTGCTGACTGCTCTTTTTACTTTTGCAAGTATATAAAAAGCTATTAGAGTAGACATGACAAGGGTCAAAATAAACAGCAAGACGAAGAAGGATGCCTCTCCGTTGGTATGCAGAGTCACGTAGACGTCTCTGCGGTTGAGGTAGTCCAAATATGAAGCTTGAATCTGGCAGACTGTACATAAAAATATCAGAACGTGAAATACTTGATGACCCTGACCTAAAAAGTCACAGTGACCCGGAAACCAGCTCTGGGGAATAGGATGAGTGAAGAAAAACGCGCTGGACAGAAAGAATGCCACCTGGCCAAAGTGAAAAAGCAGAGCAGGACTGCTTCTGAAATCTCCTGTCACCCAGAACGGATACCAGATGACCAAACGATGGAACACAGGACTGGTGTCCCATTCATATGCTAAGGCTGAAGGAACTATTTGGCCTACTTTACGTACCCATGGATGATGGGTGTAATTGCAATACGTCCCATAACAGCAGCCGAAGCAAGACAGACAACACAAAAAGCTAGCAATAGGCATGAAACATCCTCGCACGCTTTCATGCCAACTTTCCTCAATAGCATAGTAGTAGTGCACCACTGCGCTTCCGTATTGATACAGCGCAACACCAACATAATCGAGGAAAAAAAAAGCATAATGGTGGAACACTGATTTGGCTGCCAACAGGTGAGCCACAGTGCTAAAACCCATGTAAGCCATTGATGTCAAGAGAAGGATAAGAAGTGGCCAGGAATGAGCATCATTTATGAAATCTACAGTCTCAGCTAATTGGACAGCTCTCAAAAGCACCACTAGTGCTCCCAGTAGGTGCGTCCAAACATTTATGGATTCGTTGTGCCATTGGAAGAGCGACAGGAAGTAGTAGCGCCACTTCTGGTGGACTGCGCGGTAGCCAGAGTGAATGTAGTGTTTGCGGAAAAAACAAGGTGCCTCTTTGTCGCTCAAGGTCTTGGGCATTGATGATATGGTCTCGGAGAGCATCTGAGGAATTTGCATCATCTTCTGCAGGTTAAAGAATAACCGGCCAATCTTTTTCATAAATTTTGTAGTCACGGTGATCTCTTGAAGTTTGCATGCAAGTTAATCCAGGCCTAAACTGAGGACAGGCTTGTATGTCTGGGAAATCAATAAAAATGTCATATGTGAGTTAGGATTTGTTTACATCTGGTGTTAAGATTTGTGGATCTGGTTACAATTAGATGACAGTAAACAGGAGCTGAAAGCTAAAATTATATATTATTATTTTCCACTTGTCCAAATCTGTTTGATTTTCTTTATTTTGTTGAACACAAAAGACTAAAGAATGTTGCAAAAAAAAAAAAAAAAAGCAGCCATTGACTTCTGTATTTTTTGTTTTAACCTCCTAGGGCTTAGTGGCCACATACGTGGACAGCAAATTTTAGCTCTTAATATTTAAAATACTTTGAATGTTTATATTTTGTTACAGACAGACAGTGTCATCATGCAACTGTTTGGCAGCATATGAGATGTCCCAAACACTATTTTTAACTGTCTAAAATGACAGTCAAAAAATGTCCAATTTTTTTTTCTATGTTAAATTTGCATTATAAAACAGTCAGGAAAAAGTGTTTTATGTAAATTCGGACCACGAGTCCACATATATGGAAATCATTTTTCTCTAAAAGTACATCATATCAAAAGATGATACTCAGGTTTTTATTCTAATTAGGTTCCAATAAGCCCAAATAGCAAAGAGAATTAAAAAATGCATGTAAAAAACACCTTGGGGCTTAAGAGGTTAAATATGATTGCCAACGGTTGCTGGTTTGAAACATCCTTCAGAATATCATTTTGTGTGTTCAGCAGAAGAAAGGAATTAATAAGTTTAAAACTACATGAGTGTGAGTAAATAGTGAGGACATTTTTGGATGAACTTTTCCTTTATAAACACAATTGATTTGACTGTTTTGTAGGTCTAAATGTTCAGTGGCTAAAAAAATATTCAATTATTCGCCTAAAGTGAGCTAAAAACATTACAGGACATTTTGTTGAAGCATACTAGCCAGACAGAACTTAAACTTTGCCATCGGAGAGAAATCCTTTTAAGGAATCCAAAACGTATTTAAAAGTGGACAGGTGTAAATGTGAAAAAACAACAACAACAACATTCTAATACAGGGGTGGGCAACTCGATCCTGGAGGGCCGGTGTCCTGCACAGTTTAGCTCCAACTCTAATCAAACACACCTGCTTATAGATTTCTAGTGATCTTGAAGACACTGATTAGTTTGTTCAGTTGTTTTTGACTAGTGTTGGAACAAAACTCTCCCCTCGAGGATCAAGTTTGCCCATCTCTGTTCTAATACCTGGTGTTAACCAGTGTTGGGGAAAAAAGTAATATATTACAATCACTTCAAGTCACTTTAGTCACTTAAAAAAAAACAAAAAACCAAACTACATGTGTTAGTTACTTTTTAAGGACCCAATGTGAAAATATACGTGCTTTATTATTTCATTGTAATTTGCTTTTTTTTGGTACTTTTTTTAAAGAGATAAAGTAGACAAAAAATTGTAATATATTACTTTTTACCCAACACTGTGTTAACAGGGCTATAGTGAATCTTTTTTTTTTTTTTACAAAGAAGTTATACTTTGTTTAAATGACCACCAAATATTTCATTCACTCATTTTACTTCAGCCTAATACCTTATTTATCAGGGGTCACCACAGTGGAATGCACTGCCAACTATTCTGTCATATGTTTTTCATAGTGGATGCCCTACTAGCCGCAACCCTGTACAGGGAAACACCCATACATTCTCATTTACACACACACTCTTACACTATGGCCAATTTAGTTTACCCAATTCACCTACACCACATGTCTTTGGACTTGTGGGGAAAACCGGAGCACCCGGAGTAAACAAATGCCAACATGACAGAAACGCTTAACCAGCCGAGGCTTAAACCAGCCACCTTCTTGCTGTGAGGTGATTGTGCTACCCACTACGCCGCATGCAGCCAGATTGTGAACTATTTCTAAATAGTTAATTTTGAATATTTTTTCTGATCTTTTCAATGGAGAAAAAATATGTATGATTTAAAGAGATAGCTAACCCAATAATGAAGATTTACTCATCACTTACACACACTTATATGGTTTCATACATTTATATTTATGTCATAAAAGAAGATATTAAGAAAATGTGAAAAGGTCCAATAACTAAATGACAACATTTGTCAGTTTTGGGTGAAATATCCCTTTAATATATTACTAAAATACAGTCATTCTGTCATTTTTGTTACACATTAGGTATCTTAAGCTAACAACGAACTTTTGATATGCGAGTTCACAATACTTAATGCACTTTATGAATGGTATTGTTATTACACCCAGTGACTTTTGCAGCTCTTCGCTTTTTGCTGAGAAAAATCACAAAATGGACTTCAAAACTTTAAGTTTGCATTAATGGATTATTATGCACTTTACTGCAAGATATGAAACAAGTATATGAAACATGGCATGACTCTAGAGACACACAAGAGGTGGTTAATAACGTTTCAGTACTGATGGAAATCATATGGAGTTCTATAAAAAACTTTTGTAATAAAAAACATGTTAATCTAGAGACACACAAGAGGTGGTTAATAAAGTTTCAGTACTGATGGAAATCATATGGAGTTCTATAAAAAAAAAACTTTTGTAATAAAAAACATATTAATCCTTAATTCATGTGTAAACGGCTGATAGTGCTGTAACAAGCGGCGTTACATAATTGACTTTCAATATCCTAAATTACAGTCAAATAAAGAGCCAAATTGGCTCAAACAAGAGCTCATCATCAGATGTCATAACAGTGTAAAAGATGCACCACTTGCTATAGTTTCTATATCTAACCACAATATGAAAAAGCTCGTTTATACCTGTGTGGCGAGCTCCTCAAATCTGACAGCCACAGTAACGTTAAGTTAGTTCCGAGTTGAAACTGGATACTCTGTGACGATTGTTTTCTCCCTCGACTGTTTTTCTGTAGTCACGCCTCTTGAAGGATGCGATAAGAAAGCTGTCGAAGAACTTCAGCGTATCGTCGTGTTGCAGAGGTAATTTCGCTGGTAGCCTACTTTTGTTTCGATACTAATGCTTAATAAGGTTCACAAAGAAAATAAAGCAAACAAAGACGATAATTAGAAATGCCAAATACGATTGTTAGCCTCGATTGTCGTTTCTAGCTAGGTTAGCATGCATGACATATAATAACTATAATCTTAATTTAGAGGCGTTATTCGGGTTTTTGTGCTCTTAGTATAAATCACCTTCCGCCAGGCTAAGAACGTTTTCAACATGTTGGCGTTAACGTTCTGGCAAATAGTTCCCTCAAAGAGATTTGTTTATATTAGCTTATTTGCTTGTCTCAAAATATATAATTCATAAAGCCTTTTATATGTAAAAGTTCAACGTTCTTCATGTAAGTTGTCTGCTGATCTGTTTGTTGTTTTATGTAGTATTTATTTGCAGAAATCTCCTTCTCACACTTACACAGCTGTGAATGTTCTGAACATATATGGCAATGTAACGTAGAGATTCCCTTAAATGGATGTTACAATTAAAAAAAAAATCCGCGTTTTTATATTATCGATTATTTTTGCGAATGTTTGACGTTTTTTTTTAATGTACTGTTGATTGATTTGTGGGTTTATTGTAATAAAATAGTTTTATTATATCGACTATTACACATGTTCTGCAAATAAAACGCTGAGTGAACAGCAGCTGTAAACAGTCTTGCCATGGTTAAATTAAGGCAAACTTTTTTTTTGGTAGTATGGCAAAATAGGCTACGTGTTTTTTGTAATTGTGTGAGTTTTTTTTTTTTGTGGTAAAATTAACATTTTTAATTTTAATTTACAGTCTATGGGTAAAACCATGGTACATTTTCTTTTCGGTTTAGTTCCTTTATTAATCTGGATTCCTGTAGGCTATTTTTGTAAGGGGATTATGACCTGCCAACATATCCAGCATATGTTTTGCACAGTGGATGCCCTTCCAGCTGCAACCCATCCATACTGGGAAACATCCATACACACATCCCTAAATCCATACAAAATGGACTGTTTGGCAGCATATGAAATGTCCCAAACACTATTTTCAACTGTCCAAAATGATAGTCAGAACGTGTTTAAAATTTTCCATGTTGATATGCATTAAATAGTCAGAAAAAAATATTTTATGTAAATTCAGACCACAAATCCATGTAAATGGACATAATTTTTCTCTAAAAGTACATGATATCAAAAGATGATACTTAGGTTTTTATCCTTATGAGGTTCTAATAAGCTCAAATAGCAAAGAGAAATAAAACATGTGTAAAAAAACACCTGGGGTTAAATATGATTATAATATACATACACACTCATACACTACAGCCAATTTAGCTTGCCCAATTCACCTCTATCGCATGTCTCTATGGGGGAAACTGGAGAACCCGCAGGAAACCCATGCGAACACAGTGAGAACATGTCAACTCCACACAGAAATGCTCACTGACCCAACCAAGGCTCGAACCAGCAACCTTCTTTCTGTGAGGCAGTTGTGCTGCCCACTGCTCAACCGAAATGCCCTCATTTTTATTAGGTAAAAACATTAGTCATCCATAATGTTTTCATAATGAGCATGGAAAATGTTTCCTAAACATTCACCAAACCAAAAATATAAACATTTAAATAATGTTTTGTCACAAATGTGCCTCATTTGACTGAAATCTTTCAGTTCTAACATTTTACCTGTAATATTGTAGCAACTTTAGGCCCCTTAAAATATAGTCAGTGTTTTATATGTGCAATATTGACTTCAAATCATGATCTTCAAAAAAAAATAATTAGTTGATACAGCAATGCATTGACTGATATAAAGTTTATGATCATGTAATGACTGTCATGATGTGAAAAGTCTGATTAAGTTGTTCAGATTTTTATACATCTATTCTAAAAAAGGCTAATTGTTGTTTGTGAGTTTGAATCATACGCTGAACAAGTGTGACATTAAGGTGCATTTGTGGTCAATATGTTGTTGGTGGTAGAAAGGGTTGTTTCAGAAATGATACATTATTCCTGGTGATGAATAAGGTTGATATGGACTGTCTGTAATTATTGATTTATTTGTAAATATCATTCATTTGTTCTAAATTAGGGGCAATGCGGTGGCGAAGTGGGTATCGCTTTCACCTCACAGCAAGAAGGTCACTGGTTGAAGCCTCGGCTGGGTCAGTTGGCATTTCTGTTTGCATGTTCTCCCCGTGTTCGCATGGGTTTCCTCCAGGTGCTCGGTTTTCCCCACAAGTCCAAAGACATGCGGTACAGGTGAATTGGGTTGGCTAAATTGTCCATAGTGTATGTGTGTGAATGAGAATGTGTGGGTGTTTGCCAGTGATGGGTTGCGGCTGGAATGGCATCCGCTGTGTAAAAAATATGCTGGATAATTTGGAAGTTTATTCTACAGTTGCAACCCCAGGAAAATAAAGGGACTAAGCCGAAATGAAAATGAATGAATCGTCTAATTTACATGTTACAGGATGTATTTTTTGTATTGTATATTATTTAATAACAGGGATCGCACACGCACTGACACAAGCTTGTTTTGTTTCTTTTACTTTTGGATTTCATCTAAAATGTCTTAATTTGTGTTTCGAAGATGAACGAAAGTCTCGGGGGTGTGGAAAAACATGAGGGTGTACAATTATTAACAGAATTACATATTATTGAAGCTATAGGCCTATGAGTCAAATATGGTAAATTTGTAAATATCTGTTCCTGGCAAATCAGCAGAGCATGAGAAAGATTGTTTTGAAGTGGGCACACAGCTAAACACAATAAACACATTGATTTTGTGCTCATGTGAAGTGAATGCATTACATGACAACAAACTGAACCTAAAACAGCTCTTAGATTTGTTTTTCAAAAAATTACTGGAGCTGGAGAGTCCTTTAAACAATCTTAAACACTATTTATGTGATGGGCAACAAGCCATGCGTTGATTCAATTTAAGCCGTTTCTGATACCTTCTTAAAGGAACTTTTATATAGGAACCAAACCTCGCATATGATTAAAATAAGCAGGCATAAATTTATCAGAAGATGTGACCAAAACATAACTGCTGGTGTGACTGTTAACCCTTTAACCACAAGAACTATGGTAACTTCAATGACTGTGATTACAATATAAAAGTTGGGTGGCACATAGTGGTTTGAATTGTTGCCTCATAACAAGAAGGTTGCTGGTTCGAGTCCTGGCTGGACCAGTAGGCGTTTCTGTGTGGAGTTTGCCTGTTCTTCACATATTCCCTTAAGCTTAAGGGTGCTCTGCTTTCCCAGACACGCAGTATAGGTGAATTGGATAAGCAAAATTGGCCGTACACTCTCAAAAATTAAGGTAGGAGAGCTGTCACTAGGTTGGTACTTTTTCAAAAGGTCCATTTTAATATTTCAAGGGTACCTATTGGTACCTAAAAAGAACAAAAGTGTTCCTCTTAAAATATCTAATATATACATTTGAGGTACCAAGATGGACCCTTTAAGTACAAATGTGTACATTTTGAAAATGTACCACCCCAGTGACAGCTCTCATACCTTTATTTCTGAGAGTTTTTTGTATGAGTGTGTGTGAATGTGAGAGTGTATGAGTGTTTCTCAGTACTGAGTTGCAGCTGGAATGGCATCCGCTGCGTAAAACATATGCCAGAATAGTTGGCGGTTCATTCAGCTGTGGCAATTCTTGACAAATAAGGGACAAAGCTGAAGGAAAATTAATGAATGAATGTTCATTAATTAATATAAATTAAAGACTAAGCTGAATGAAAATAAATTCATTCAAAAGTCTTGTAATAGCCCACTGAGTGCGCTAAACAGGGTTAATGTGAAATCATCCAGAATCCAGGCATTTTGTCATTTTTCTGTGAGCTTCTGCTATTTTGGAAAAGCTCGATCCCAACATTAATCCTTGACACCATAATCATGACAGATTTTCATACATTTCCTTCTGATAAAATGAATATATAAATGGACAAATCTATTAAATCAGGCACTAATGAGATTCTAAAGCTGGGTAATCTGGTTTGGCAATGGTAATAAGGTCACACAGACCTTTATCGATAAGGGCCAAGGAGAAAACTAATAATGATACCATGATACCATGGCTCCAAAATACTGCCGGTGCTACTGTAGTTCGTAAATGGTAGTATCGTCATTAACAGTCTATCTACAATACATAATGTTGCATGTGGAAAAGTCACTAAAATGCTCACGCTTTTGTGCAACAATAGACCATTTTATTTGAATAGTCTGTGGAGCTCTTTAAGGTTGCAAACTAGAATTCACACATCTTATCGTAGCCTATTTAATGTTTTCTAACGCTTCAGTTCGAAGTGAATAGATTCAGTTCTGATTCAGTTTAATTCTCCTGTCAATATGATTTAGTAGCTGCAATAACTGCGACAATCTCTTAAAAAGAGCCACTCACAAAGTTACATTTTAAATTCATTTATTCATTCATTCATTTTCTTGTCGGCTTAGTCCCTTTATTAATCCGGGGTCGCCACAGCGGAATGAACCGCCAATTTATCCAGCAATTTTTTGTGCAGCGGATGCCCTTCCAGCCGCAACCCATCTCTGGGAAACATCCACACACACATTCACACACTACGGACAATTTAGCCTACCCAATTTACCTGTAACCACATGTCTTTGGACTGTGGGGGAAACCAGAACACCTGGAGGAAAACACGCAAACTCCACACAGAAACGCCAACTGAGCCAAGGTTCGAACCAGCAACCCAGCAACCTTCTTGCTTTGAGGCGACAGCACTATCTACTGCGCCACTGCCTCGTCCACATTTTAAATTACTTACCTGATAAGACTGAAAAAAAACAACAACAAAAAACCAATAGATACTGGAAACATTGAAACTGAATTTTTGATTACTTCATAAAGTTTAATTTGGTTGGAAAAATGATCTTTTTGTATCTTTATTTTATCTTTTTATCTTTATTTTAATGTATTTTTTGTTGGTTAGTTATCTACAAAATAAACAAAAAGACCGAATACATTTTAGGTAAAGTAACATGCAAATACTTTTTTAATAATAAGGGAATCGTTAATTCAATTCAAGTAGGCCTATTATAACATAAATATATTGTATTTCTGACAATTTTCTTTATTTCATGGATTTGAGTTATTGGAGAATCGCAATATGCAAAATGTCAATCAACGAACTGTGTTTGTAACGACAGAACTTGCAACATTAGTTGGCTAACGATGGTTTTTGGAAACACACACCAGTAGGTGTCACGTAAAAGAACATACAGTATCAGCCAGCATGCGACAAAAAAGCAGCAGTCAGTGAAATTCAAAAAAAATTTTTTAAACAGCAAATTAGTTTTTTTTTTCACATTTGTAAAGTTTGTTCGGTTTCTCACCTTTATACAGTTATATGGCACTACCTATGACACAATCTCCATAGAACTTTGCTCACTTATGTTGTTATGTTGTGCGCGCTAATACATCTTGGAGTTTTTTTTTTTTTTTTTAATGTTGGGGTTTTGAGCATTTGTATACATTTTTGCCCATGGAGCCTTTTCACAAGACGTTTAACGGTCACCATAATCTTAAATCCTTGAAAGTTTTTAATATTTTGATTAAAATAATGTATGAACATTTATATACAGTATGTATGTATTATATAATCTTTGCGTCAAATTACAAAAAACGAATTACTGCTTCTAATTAGTGTAATGAATTAGTGTTTCTGTAATGCACAGTCTATCGGGCTGAAAGTAAATCTGACATTACTCTCTCTTCTGTCTGCCATTATGAGTTTCACACAGATTTTTTTCTAAAAGTCTTGATAACACCATTGAGGAGTTTTTTTTTATTAGTTAAGCAAATAGGATTGTAAAAAAAAAATATTTGTTGTACTCTCTGATTCACTGTACTTTAAGCTTACCCGATGACGCCTGAGAAACCTGGAAATGTGGAAAAAGGTTTAATGGTATATGTTTACCCTGGCCAATTTTTGTCTTGCAGATCTTTAGGATGCTGATTTGAACATGCACAACCAGTTGCATTCTGATCAGGCCTCCATTAAACCTTGTCTAAAAGTGTTTCAAACTTGATTGACCAATGGTAGCCATACAGTACCTTTCAATACAGAAGTGGTCCCTTGAATAAAGAAAATGATGTTAATTTTGAACGCTAAAAGTTTTATTGTTAAACTTTTTTCTTCTCTTTTTTTGTTCCTGCTGTAGCTTCCCCAAGTGGCTAGACTGCACATTTTCTTGTGCGAGTTCATACATGACTGTAACAAGTTCAATGAAAATATCTTTTTTTTTTTTCAAAAGATTTTAGCAAAAGTTATAGTTAAATTTTTGAGAAAAAAAAAATAAAGATCTTCCCAATTAGATGTTTTCAGCATCCCATTATTAACATCATTCAAAATAACCTGGTTTGGTTTTGATCGGGTGATCAACCTAGAAGACTAGTGGATTTAGTGTGTATTTACAGATACCCATAATTGGACGTCAGTTAAAAAAATATTTTCTTTTCTTTCTACTTAGGCTGGATGGAGCCACAGATCTGATTTGTACACTGCTCACCTCATCTATGAGATCACCAGCAAGTCGTATCACAGAGATTGACACCGGGAAGAAATCTTCAGACTTGAATCTGTTGTTTGCAGAACTAGTTACCCCTTATTGCAAAATTGAGAGAATCAGGTGAGCTGATCCAGAAGCAATTATGTGTGGTTAAAAAGGGACTTTGAACTGAACTGATGTTCATTCCTCCTGCTTAGAAAAAAGGTACAAACGCGGTCACTGGGGCAACTTTTCAAAAGGTGTTTATTGGTAACTAAAATTAATTACTATTTATGGTTTTGTATGTATTAGTATTCCTTTTGAAAAAGTACTCCCTTGGTAACAGTTTTGTATAGTTAATATATAGCAGCTGTAAAACTTACATCATTTAATGTTGTTTGCTGAGTAATGCTGAAGTAGATCTAACAAGTGTCACTTATGAAATGCTACATCAGAATTAGCACGATAAACAACATTGTATTCATGTCAACTTTCTGTAAATATTAGGGTGTCTTACTTCTGGCATCATTTCCTTACAGTTATTTCTGGCTGTTCAATAAACCTTACATTTTGTGGCTTGGTAATGCATACTATTTATTATTTTAACATATTTTCCTAATTATGAACACACCAATAATTGTACTGTTTACTGTACATTGTTATTTTCATTATTTCCCTCACACATTTACAGAAAACAGTTTAAATAGTCCGAGCTAGTATACAGTTAAAGTCAGAATTATTAGCCCCCTGTATTATTATATATATTATAAAATATTATTATTATATTATTATTTATTTTTTTCCCTAATTTCTGTTTAACAGAGAGAAGATTTTTTTCCACACACTTAAACATAATAGTTTTAATAATTCATTTCTAACAACTGATTCATTTTATGTTTGCCATGATGACAGTAAATAATATTTGACTAGATATTTTTCAATACACTTCTATACAGCTTAAAGTGACATTTAAAGGCTTAACTAGGTTAATTAGGTTAACTAGGCAGGTTAGGGTAATTAGGTAAGTTATTGTTTAACGATGGTTTGTTCTGTAGACCACTGAACAAAAAAATTGCTTAAAGGGGCTAATCATTTTTTACCTTAAAATGGTGTTTAAAAAATTAAACTGCTTTTATTCTAGCCGAAATAAAACAATTAAGACTTCTTCTGGAAGAAAAAAATATTATCAGACATACTGTGGAAATTTCCTTGCTCTGTTAAACATCGTTAAATATTTTAAAATATTTTATATATTTAAAAAAGTTAAAAAAAATTAACGGGGAGCTAATAATTTTGGCTTCAACTGTAATTTTTTTTGGTTACACAACATGCACTGATACATCACATGTAAACTGTTCTCTCATATATATATATATATATATATTAGGGATGTGCGGAGCAGCCGGTATTTGTATTTGTATTTGTATTTGTTGAGGGGGGAAAAGTATTTGTATTTGTATTTGTATTCGAGTAAAATTCAAAATGGCGCAAAAATATATATTTTTTCTATTACACTTCTAATTTACGTTATAGTGAAAGTATTGTTTAATTATACCAATTATATAAATTATAGATATGCACTATTGGCTGTTGTTTTTGAACATGTGACAAGAAATGTCATTGAAAAGAAAATAACATAGAAGCCATTATTTCATCCATGGTTAAACCTACAACTAATAAAATACCATTGTGAATATTATGAAACCCACCACCACCGTTCTTGTTAAAGGACACTGAATAGACAGAATAAAAACAAATAATACTTCAAAAAACTGTTCTTCTTCTGAAAGAACTTCTTTCCAATGCACAGAATTCCAAAAACTAATATTAACTAAATAAATCTAAATAAAACCCTGCCTGGGGAATCTGGCAGAACAAAAGTATTCTATATAATACTAAAAGATACAGCCCTGCTATTATCATCTGCCAGCCACAAAACAGACACAAAGTTTGTTTGTTTGTTTATTTAGAGATATCTGCAAATATTTTTCAATGGAAGTCAATGGAGGAATATGACTAGTCTATCATAATATATTTGCAGATATTTCCAATCTGACTAGTCGAATTATAATTATGACAAGTCAAAATATAATTAGAGATATCTCTAAATATATTTATGGATAGTCTGAACAAGGTTTAAATGCTAAAACGGCTTGCCATACGCTTTCACCCAGTAGCACAGTGGAGAGTTCTCTAGTTATATCCTTTCAGTCGTTTGTTATGCATTGACATGCAGTCAAATATTTCGCCAAACAGTCCTTAGGGATGCGGTGACACGCAGTCAGATATTTTACCGGACAGATCCGCCACTTTAGGCGCGCATAAACAATCATAAAGCTCTCGTGCTGCAGGAATGAGGAGGTCTGCTGAAGGTGCAGCTGTCGTGCAGTGAGAGGTTTGCGTCTTTAATAAACTACGGCAGTTTGCGATCACTGAACAGTAAGATTGATTAATAAATCCATATGAAACAACCCCTTAAAAGTCACGTCTTGCTTTCAGTTTCGGGCTTTGGCGCGATTTGCACTGAGCGTGTGTCTCTCTCTCTCTCTCTCTCTCTCTCTCTCTCTCTCTCTCTCACTCTCTCTCTCTCTCTCTCTCTCCCTCTCTCTCTCTCACTCACTCACTCACTCACGCGGGCATGCACTGTGGTCTCACGAGGAGACGCTGCTTTTTGATATAGTGTTTTTCTTGCTCCCGAATACAAATAATTTTTCAAGTATTTGTTCGAATCAAGTATTCGTAAAAACACGCTATTCGTGCCTTTCCGAATACCGTATTCGGGTTCGGCTCCACCCTTAATATATATATATATATATATATATATATATATAGAAGATATGTGCTTGGGTAGGTGCAAAAATAATCTTAAGAAACAGTTTCACCTCCAAGTCCCACGTCAGGGTATATTTAAGCAGAGTCTTAAAATGTCTAAAATCTCAAAAGCTACAATTTAGGCCTTAAAAAGTCTTCAATCTACTGTAATATTGTGTTGTAGGTCTTAAATCTTTTTTAACGGGTCTTTATTTTCCCTTCTTCATGTATAGCTGCCCATTCTGGCCATTAACAATCAACAAACAATTCCAATCTCAATAAAACTTTAACTTTTTATTTAAAAATAGCATTTATTTACTGCTGAGGATACTGACCTGACCTATATATTTTTTATTATTAAATTATTATTCTTGTAAACTGAATTGACAGTTATGTTCTATTCTTGGGTTTTAAGGTTTGTGAATGGGTATATTTAAAAATAACTAAATTATTATTATTATTATTGTGTTATTAAATGTATTAAATTTTGATATTTTTTGAAAGGGCTAATGAAAATATTTTCTAACTGAGATAATCGAAAAAATTCTTTACATTTAGCCGTGTATAAGTCTAAAATTTCATTCATAATGGTCTTAAAATGTCTTTAAAAGTCTTACATTTAACTGTGTTGAGCTTAGAAAATAAGTCAGTGTTTTGTTCTGATTATCCTGTTTTTCAGTGGTCTTTAACATGATAACCAAGAAACAATGGTGTTTGGGGCTCACCATATGTCATTTCCCTGTACTGAACTTTTATCATTGAACTGTGCTATATCCCTTTTTTCATTCTATGTCAAATTTAAATGTCAAAAGAGGTGTACATTTCTGTCTTCTGAGGAGACAGCAGTTGAGCTTTGTTCTTGTCAGAAACAGAAAAAAGCAATGAATTCAGCAATGATAATAATCAGCAATAATTATATAATTATGAGCTGCGTGTTTTCATTATCTCTTTACCAACCTCTAAACCATGCAGAAAATAACCTGAGTACAAGTCATTTAATACCCAGAGGTGCTGTAATATATCTCTTTAATACCTCTCCACTTTTGGGGGGGATTTAACAATGAGATTACAGAAATTAATGCAAGCCATGTATTTGTTCTGTCTGCTTTATATTGCATTTCAGATTAAGCAGTTGAAAATATTATCTAAACCTTACAGACAGTATGGACAACCCCGAAGAGCAACTCGACATGGAAAGTCTACGTCAATGTTAGTGTGATTTCTTTTTCCTATTATGTCTTTTCAGATATTACCTCTTACGTGGTGTATAATGTATAATCGTTTATGAATGTAAATGGTGTGTAAAGTTTCATAGATCAAAGTGATTATTAAATGGAGTTGTCTCCCAAAAGAAAGAACAGATTTTGAACTGTCTGAATCGAGTCATCTGTGAATTTAATTCATACTGTACAAGCCTATCGGTTTAGCTGAATTATTGTTTCTGTCCATTTATGTATTCGTTGGCTGCTAGTGAACAGCTCCTCCTTTTTTAACAGTTCCAAGTCTTTAGTTGAGGCCTAAATCACGTCTTAAAGATGAAAGAGTTGTTTTGAGTTGTCAACATTTTTGAAAAGATGCTGTTTTCTGTGCTGCAAAAGTAAATCTACTTTTCATCCATTTTAAATAAATGAAGATTCTGACTCGGTTTGATTGGGTAATACCAATAACATTGAAACGGTTCTTATGACCATGTATGCATGTGCTGTGGCTAAAATTCAAATATGAGTATTTGGTTTCTAGCACACACTGTAAGGGAACAATCACAACAAACTGAGCCATCTGACCAATCAAAAAGGTTTACTGGAAGAACAAATCTTCAAAAGAATAATTTAAAAAAAGGATATTTAAAAGGTATAGTTCACCCCAAAAATGACTATTACCTTACTTTTACTCTCTCTGGTGTAGTTTTAAACTTTTATAAGATTCTGTTGAATGCAAAAGAACGTATTTTGAAGAATGCTGACAGAGAAAAAGAAAGCAATACTGTGGGTGCCATTAACCAGATATTCATCAAACTACCAGAAGAAACTCAATGGAAGATGAGTAATTGTATAATATGTTTTTTTTTTTTTTTCCCAAATAACAACCGATTAAACTAATAACACAAACTCATAGAATAATCACTCACCAGCCACTTTATTAGGTACACCTTACTAGTAACTGGTTGGACCCCCTTTTGCATTCAGAACTGCCTTAATCTTTTATGGCATAGATTTAACAAGAAACTGGAAATATTCCTCAGAGATTTTGGTCCATGCAGATTTGTTGGCTGCACATTCATCTAATCTGTTGTTCCATCACATCCTAAAGATGCTCTATTAGATTGAGATCTGATGACTGTGGAAGGGCATTTGAGTACAGTGGACTCATTGTCATGTTCAAGAAACCAGTCTGAGATGATTACCAGTCCGGTTATCCTGCTGGAAGTAGCCATTAGAAGATAGGTTCATTGTGGTCATAAAGGGATGGACATAGGCAGCAACAATACTGTTGTAGGCTGTGGCATTGACACAATGCTTAATTGGTACTAAGAAGGCCAAAGTGTGCCAAGAAAATATCCCCCACACCATTACACCACCACCACCAGCAGCCTGAACTGTTGATACAAGGCAGAGATGCTCTTCTGCATACCTCCGTTCAGTTGTAACAAAACGTTATTTCAGTTTCTGTTGCCTTTCTATCAGATCAACCCTTGGCATTAACAAGGCATTTGTGCCCACAGAACTGTCGCTCTCTGGATATTGTACTTTTTAGACTTTTTTTACTTTTTTATTATCTGTACCCTAGAGATCCTTAGAGATGTTTGTGCGTGGAAAATCCCAGTACATCAGCAGATTCTGAAATACTCAGAGCAGCCCGTCTGGCACCAACAACCATGCCACGTTTAAAGTCACTTAAATCACCTTTCTTCCCCATTCTGATGCTCGATCTGAACTGCAGCAGATCGTCTTGACCATTTCTACATGACTAAATGCATTGAGTCGCTGCAATGTGATAGGCGGATAAGAAATTTACATTAATGAGCAGTTGGAGGTGTACCTTATAAAGTGGCCGGTGAGTGTATATGATTATGGCAGCCTGCAGTTCTTTACTATTTGGCACCACCTTGTGACTGAATAATACTAAAAATAAAAATGGTTAGTGTAGACCACATCCAGCCATTTGAAACATTTTTCTTTTTGAAAGATTTCGATTTAACAAAAAATCTGGTAAATTATTACAGCTCAGGTAAAAAATTTTTTTTTAACTGTTTAGTTTTGTAACAAATAGCTGTGTAATAAGCAGCATAATGTACATCTATTAAGGCCTTGTTCAGCAATTCACTTGTTAAGTCAAATTTTGTGTAACTTAAATTTTTTTTGTTGAAGCCTGATTATATATGAACTATATAAAATATTAAATTAATAACTTTTTTATTTTATTTAAATTTTGACATTATTTGACGACTTTTTCTCAGACATTAATCCTTATGCCTGGTTCACACAGCGCGTCAGCGTCAACACTTTCTGTTAACTTTGAACTGGTGACATCAAGTGTTGTTGAACTGAATTGTGAATCCGATGGTGCCATGTCAGCTGCGTTGCTCACTGCAAAAGTTTGGAATTTCTCAACTTTTCAAGTGTTAATTATATATAATAATTAAGGTAAATGGAGAATAAATTTAAAATGGAGGAAAAACGTATTATTGGGGTGGGCAATCACCTGTTTCTTTATGACCAATCTTTATATATAAATATACAGTGCATCCGGAAAGTATTCATAGTGCATGTTACAACCTTATTCCAAAATGGACTAAATATATTTCTTTCCTCAAAATTCTACACACAATACTTCATAATGACAATGTGAAAAAAATTTTTTTTTTTAAATTGTTGCAAATTTATTAAATCTAAAAAACCCGAAAAATCACATGTACAGAAGTATTCACAGCCTTGGCAGTGAAGCTCTAAATTGAGCTCAGGTACATTCTGTTTCCACTGATCATTCTTGACATGCTTCAGCAGCCTAATTGGAGTTCACCTGTGGTAAATTCAGTTGATTGGACCTGATTTGAAAAAGGCATACACCTGTCTATATAAGGTCACAGGGTTGACAGTGCATGTCAAAGCACAAACCAAGCATGAAGACAAAGGAATTGTCTAAAGACCTCTGAGGCAGGATTGTCTCGAGGCACAAGGCTGGAAAAAGTTACATAAACATTTCTACTGTTCTGAAGGTTCCAGTGAGCACAGTGGACTCACATGCGTAAGTGGAAGATGTTTGGAACCACCAGGACTCTTTCCTAGAGCTGGCCGGCCATCTAAGCTGAGTGATCAGGGGAGAAGCAAGACAATGACTCAAAGCACACTGCTAAAATATCAATGGAGGGGCTTCACAACAACTCGGTAAATGTCCTCGAGTGGCCCAGCCAGAGCCCAGACCTAAATTCTGTTGAACATATCTGGAGAGATCTGAAAATGGCTGTACACCGTCGCTTCCCATCCAACCTGATAGAGCTTGAAAAGTACTGCTAAGAGGAATTGGCAAAAATTCTCAGAGACAGATGTGCCAATCTTGTGGCATCATATTAAAAAAGACTTGAGGCTTTAATTGCTGCTGAACAACAAAGTATTGTGTGTAAAATTTTGAGGAAATAAATAAATTTAATCCATTTTGGAATAAGGCTGTAACATAACAAAATGTGGAGAGTGAAGTGCTATGAATACTCTTCTGATGCACTATATATACTGTGATTCACACCGAAGTGACCAGGCCTAGGAAAAAGTGGCAGAGGTGCCTTCCGTCATCGTTGATGCTAACTGTGTGTGAATTGGGCATTACTTATGAGATGTTTAATTTTGACCTTGGACTTAGTTTTGAGTCGACCTTGGATTCATTTAAATATTGCAGGTCTATTGTAATATGTATTTAATCTAATATATTGTAAATCTTCAAAATACTGGCGTGTTAACTGAATTTAGGTTAAACTCAATACTGACAAAATAAATTCTGTAGCCGTAATACTTTTAACTCCTCTTCTTAGATGCATGCAAGATGACTTGGAATCCAAACACGGCTTCTTTAGATGTGAGGTTGAAAGACGAAGCTTATGCGGAACCCCGCAGAAAACATAAACCCGCCCCACACCACCCAGAGAGGTTTCAAGTTCCAGCCCAAATCATGAGTCGGGAGGGACTGAGCAGCCGTCATTTCTTCCAGGTGGAGTGGTTCGGCAGGTGGGCTACCATAGGAATGGCCTATAAACACATCAGTAGAAAGGGAAGTGTAGAAGCTTGTACCATTGGATGTAATGAAAACTCCTGGGGTATTTTCACAAGCGCTCCCTATCCCATCTGTAAAGCTCTTCATGGAGGGCTAGAGACAATTCTGCCTGACTCCTCGCCCTTCAGAGTCGGGGTCTATTTGGACTGGCCAGCAGGAATACTGTCCTTTTACAACACCACAAACAATGAGGCCAAACTAATCCACACGTTCCATGCAAAGTTTACTAGTCCTCTCTTTCTGCTTGTCAGCATAAGTGCTGGAGTTCAGGTGCTTCCAGACAAACCTCCTCCTGTCTGTTTTCATGAGCACGACCCCTGGGGTATAATGATGGTCGAAGTGGCATGCAGCGGCTGTAGGGATTCAAAGAAGGAATCAAAGGTGGTTCCTTCTAGATCATTTAAATGTGCAATTGTTTAAATGTTAAAATTGTTGTATTTTCAAATGAAAAGCCAAAATATTAGATATCTAGTAAATGAAGTAAACCTAAATAAAACTACAATTAAATAGGCTAATAATAACCAATATGTTTTACTATATTTTATATTGTGATTTTTTGCTAAATTGTAGGCTATTACAACAGCAGAGATTTCCAAATATCATCATAATTATAATATTTAATAAATATTAACAAATATAGTTTTATAACATCAGTATTGTTGCCTTTGATTTAATCAGATACTTGTAGGTGAGTAAGATTCTGGTTATATTTTGAACACCAAATAATAAATAAACCTTTAAAGCCTCAGGATTTGGAGGCAAAATCTAAAGTGTGCACATATGGTATGCAGTACACCTTAGGCTTAAAAGGTCTAGCTACTTTTAAAGTGCAAATTGTGCTAAGCTAACATATTTACATGTTTTTTTTTTTTTTTTTTTTTTTTTTTTTTTTTTTTTTCCTTTTATTGACCTCAATAACAAACATACAAAATTCAACAATTTACCCAAAAGAACCCAATGACAATAACAGATCAGGATAAACAATATAAACTTTAAAAAATTAAATTAAAAAAAAAAAAAAAAAAAAAAAGGGAGAAAAAATAAATAAATAAATAAAATTAAACATACATAACACAAATACAGCAAGAGGAAAGGAGGACTTATGTAACCGTGCTGTTTCCAAAATATTTATCATAAAGAGCTAAAAATCTATCACTTTTCTTATTATTAACTAATCTAAGAGATTTAATAAAAACATCAATTTCTATTAAAAAATGTGAAAAAGAAGGCTGCGAACAGGAGAATTTTTGTTTATGGATAAAATATTTTCCATACAAAATAAAAAAGTCAATAATGTAATTCTCTGATATATCAGCCCCACCTCCATAAAAACAAACGACATCCTGAAGATGAAAGGGTCTGGAAGAAGCAATGTGGTTACCTATATGGAGATATAAGTTTTTCCAAAAGTTTTTTGTACTTTCACATTGAAAAAATATGTGAATCAGCGTTTCGTCTTCACTCTTACAAAATGTGCATAAACTGTCAATCTCCAAATACTTTGCCAAAGTACCGTTTACTGGGTATATTTTATGAAGAATTTTGAAATGAACCTCTTTTGTTTTATTGGAAATGCAGTACTTATGAGGTAATAGCCAGGCTTTTTTCCAGTCTGTTGTGTCAAGGAAGGATGCCCAGTAAAATTTGCCTTTAGGAACATTATATTTTTTATTTTGAAAAATTTGTCAAATATATTTATTATTACATTTGTTGTCAAATAGACTAATTCCATTTAAAATCAGCTCTGGTTCTTTAATAACATTTTCATTAAACATTAAATGAGATTTTATAAGTTGAATTAGGCCTAACGGAATTGCTTTTTGCACAGCATTAAATTCTTTAAAAGGTAATGGAAAATTATTATTAGACATAAATTGTTCATAAGACAAAAAGTTGCCGGACTTATCAAAAATTGAGAGAATTCCAATTATATTTCGGTTAAACCATGTAGATAGAAAAATAGATTTATTTCTAATTCTAATATCAGAGTTGTTCCATAAAAAGCATTTATGTGGTGAGAAATTGTGGGAATAACACAATTTCCAGGAAAGAAGGACCTGCTGGTGAAATTTTGACAGTGCAATTGGCAATTTATTTGGTAGATAATTACATTTTAAAATAAAAGGAAGACCTCCAATTTTTGTGAAAATAGAGTTTGGAATAAAAAACCATATAGAGTTGGGGTCTTTTAAGCATCTTTTAATCCAATTTATTCTAAAAGTGTTTACTATGTCCTCAAAGTCAATCACTTCAAGTCCGCCCTCTTTTCTACTATTTGCTAGAACTGTTTTCTTAAGTTTATGGGATTTATTTTTCCAAATAAAGTTTAAAAATATTTTGTTAACTTCTTTAGCTGTAGGGATATTAACAGAGAGAGAAAGTGAGGGGTATACCAAACGAGACAAACCTTCTGCTTTAGTCAAAAGAACCCTCCCATAAAGGGAAAGGTCTCTTTGTAGCCAAAGATTAAAAATGCTTTGAGTTTTTTTAAGTCTACCAGAAAAGTTAAGCTGTTGTCTAGTGGCAAAATTTTTTGTTAAATAAATACCCAGATACTTTACAGTCTCTTTTACCAAAATACCATTTAATGAGGAATCATTAGTTTCATGAATCATCATAATTTCACATTTGGACATATTCAATTTCAATCCAGAAGCACATGAAAATTCTTCAATTATACTTATAGCCTTGGATAACTGACATTTATCTTTTAAAAATAAGGCAGTGTCATCGGCTAACTGGGAGATTTTAATTTCTCTATCAAAAATAGATATACCTTCTAAGTTACGTTCATATATAATATTTAGCGATAGCAATTCTGTTACTAAAATAAATAAAAAGGGTGAGATAGGGCAACCCTGTCTCACACCGCGGTTAATAAAAAATCTTTTAGAGGTGTTGAAGCTAATTAAAACAGAGCTACTAATATCACTATAAAGCATTTCAATAGCATTGACAAAAAAGTCACCAAAACCAAATAACTTTAAGGTCTGCAAAAGAAATCCGTGTTCAAGTGTGTCAAATGCTTTATAAAAGTCAAGGAAAAGAATCATAGCTTTAGAATGTATGAAGTCAGCATAATCCAAAAGGTCCAAAGCAAGTCTTATATTATTACTGATATGTCTACCTTTTACAAATCCAGACTGTGTCTCAGCAACCAGCTGATTAATTTTCGTTTTTAATCTGTTAGCAAAAATTAAGGCTAAAATTTTGTAATCAACAGTGAGAAGCGTGATTGGACGCCAATTATCTATTAAATTGGTGTCCTTGTCTGGTTTGGGAATAAGGCAGATAACACCTTGTTTCATTGACGTTGTCATGTCCTTTAGATCAATGCATTCATCATACATAGAAAGCAATGGGTCTTTAATTAGTTCCCAAAAGTGCATATAAAACTCGACGGTTAATCCATCATTGCCCGGGGATTTGCCTTTCTTCATGGAATAAAGAGCTACTTGAATTTCCTCCAAGGTCAAATTGGAATCACAAAAGGTTTTGAACTCAGGATCAATAACTGGAACGCAAGTTTTAATTTTATTTACATAATGATCACTACAATGTTTGTCAAAAGCAGAAGTGTAAATGTTTTGGTAAAAATCTGTAACAAAGTTAGATATTAATTTAGGATCAGTGCATTTAACACCATTGATATTGAGAGAAGTCAAAGAATTTCTCTTACAGTTCCTTTTTTCCAATGCAAAAAAATAGCTAGAGTTCGCCTCTCCCTCCTCCAGCCATTTAGCCCTGGACCTAACAAATGCACCTCTCGCAATATCTAGATAAGCTTGATTAATTTGTAGATGCAATTCCCTTAATTCTATTTTCTCTTTTTCAGACAAGTTACCTGTTAGTAAAGTATTTATTCTATTAATCTGTTCTGTTATTTTCTTATTTTTTAAATTTTTCAGTTCTTTACTTCTTTTTATTGCTATCTATCTGACTCTGTACTTAAAAAATTCCCATTTATTCTTGTACCCAATTAGCATTTTATCTAGCAATATATTCTTAATTAACTCTTTTGTATTGTTATTGAAAACGTCATCTTTTAATAGACAGTTATTAAATTTCCAATAACCACGTAACTTTGGATTCTCCTTATAACAACCTAATTTCAATATTATTTGATTGTGATCAGTGAGGGGTGCAAATGAGTGATTTACATCTTTAACAAATTGTAAGGCTGATGAAGATAATAAAAAGAAATCAATTCTAGATTTTAAAGACAAATTACTATTTGACCAAGTAAAGTCTTGCGTGTCAGGGTGAAAAAAGCGCCAAGGATCTGTAAGAGAGAGAGATGAACATATTGATAAGATGTTATTAGAATTCACATGAAGAGCTTCATTGCTTCTAGGAGGAAATCTGTCCAATGTGTTATCCAAACATTCATTAAAATCACCGCCTAACATTAGGAAAGAATCCGGGTATTTAATTTGCATTTCAATAATTTTTTGAGTAATATGAGAAAATAATGTTTTGTTAGCAGAAAAAGAATTATATCCATATAAATTACAAACAACAAATATAGAATTATCCTGCTTTAGTGCCATGATTATCCATCTACCTTCGTTAGATATTGCAGTCTCAAGAATCTGCCCCTTAAATTTATGCAAAAGGATTGAAACTCCAGCTGAGTGATTGGAGCCATGGCTAGAATAAATTAAATTTCCCCACTGATTCTTCCAGAATTTTACATCAGACTCACAAGAATGTGTTTCTTGGAGAAATATTAAATCAGATTCGCAGCTTTTACAAAATAAAAAAATTGCTTTCCTCTTTACCATATCTCGCATTCCTCTAACATTCAAAGACATAACAGAAAATGAATTAAATTTAAAATCCATAACGAATAAACAAAGAATAAATGTATAAACCAACGACTGAAGAAACTGTAGAAACCTTACCTCGAAGGGAGGAACAACAACCAACTAAGTCATAGAATAAACAAAATAACCTCTATGACAATTCTTTAGGACAAAAGAAAACATCTTTTTAAATATAACAAAATTAAAGATCTTTATATAACTCTTTATAAGGATATTCTAGACAGAGCCAAGAAAAATGTCAGAATTTAAATATGGGTAAATTAACGTTTTTTTTTTTTTTTTTTTTTTTTTAATCTTGGCATACCAGTCACAGCAAGCATTTAACATAAATTAGGAATTAAATACTTTGCAAAATCAAACTCTGGCTAAATATGAACCAGATAAATATCTGGCTAAATATCGTTTAACTCCGACCTGATCGCGGGAAAAAACGCAGAATTACCCGGGTTATTTGCCTACTTAACATCGGCATAGTCATATCTCTTCCCGTCAATTAAAGCAAAAGATCCGCGAAAGGAAGCCTTCTTTCCATCTTCTCTGGCCTTCTTTATCAAGGGCCAAAGTTTCTCTCTTGCCACTCTGTCTTCTGGACACAATGCCTCTGTAAATCGCAGCTTGTTATCGCGCAGAAAAGTACATCCTCTAGCTGACTGCCACACAATGTCTCGGAAGCGTCGAAGAGCAAACAAAATAATTATGGATCTCCACGAACCATCTTTTCTCTGCGGGCCGAGACGATGGGCGATATCCACTGCATCATCCATTCTGTCACTGATACCAGGTACCACCTTGCTCAGGATATTGATCACAACACTACGAACA